ATTTTGATATTCTCATCATTAATAGTTTTACAAAATTAGCCCTTATTGCCAATATGTTGCCTGTTCTGGTTAGCCCTGCGACTGCTACATTGAACCCATGGTCAAAACTCACTCCAGTTGTTCTGTATCCTACTTTCATGGGAACAGAATTTATTTAAATAAAACAAACARAAAAATTGTTTTTTGTGAAAGGAAAGAAATGACAACTCAGACATGGACAGGATCACATCCATGAGCTGCTGTGTCCCACTAAAATTACGGTGAAAATCAAACAKCTTAACAAGAAGTCTTTTACTTACTCAGGATGTGCATATTTACTCCATTAATATTTTGTAACCTTTCTTTTTAAATTACCAGGAGTACAAGCTTAGTAAAGTAAACCATAAGAAAAACCATGTCTTTTACTAATTTTACAGGTCATTATCTGTACACAGTTGATGTCGGGGGACCCATGTTTTAAAACGTAAGTGTGAGAAACATGTTTCTACTTCATCTGAATTTTGTCATTTGATATTCTTGACTAGAGGCCACACTGAATAATTAAACATGTCACGTGAGGTAATGAAGTAATGAATACACAGATGTAATAATTCATTCAGGTCACCTTTATGGACACATTATGAACCAAACTAAAATGTCACATTGCTACCTTTCTTTTGCACCATTTAATGGAGTTGACAGATTGATATAATCGTCACTAAGCCTTTAGCAGCATGACTCTGCTTTAGCTTTTCTTTTTTTTATTTTGAAAGAATAATTGATGCACAGATGAGAGGCACTAAAGCCACACTGTCTTTCTTCTGTAAATCAGACCTCCCTCCACAGCCAATGTGATCGGCATCCCGGGTGATGGAGAGAACCTCCTGGAGGAGAGGAAAGGAGGAGACTCACAGAAAGGCCACTCTGGTGAGAATAATCATCTCGCATCAGACGCCTGCCTCCCMTTTTTGTCATAAACCCTGTAGCTTTTCTGGACAGGTTATGGTTTAGCTGTGCCATTCCAGTTTATTTTCTTTATTTCTGAATTTTAGTTTGAGYTTTATATCTGTTTTCTGATGGTGTTTTTAATGTTCTGTCATTTAGACACGGATCAAGTCAGCGCACAGTAAATATTCAAGACCTTAATTTAGAACAGGATCTGCTTTTCAGAGCAACCTGCAAAACTGTACCAACAAATAAGTAAATAACTGTGTGCTGTTCAGGCTGATAATCCAAGGATTTCCCCAGTCATTAACTGCAGCATCAAAACCTTTTTTCACAGCAGCTGAGCCAAATGGTTGCATGTAACAAACCATCTGGCAGGTCAGGCTGGACCTGGCATGCTCTTTTTAGAAAGCTGAAAACGCTTGACTTTAATAGTTTATTTTTAAATATAAAAATACTAATAAATTGAGTATTAGCATAAACATAATAAACATTTCTTGACTGTTTAAATTCTAGTGATCAGTAAAAGTGAACATTGCTTCAGGTTTTTTGGTGATAAACGCATTTGACTAATATAATCAGGGTTGCACATAAGCGGTGCGCAGGTGCGCKATCAAAACAAGAAAAAGCGCACCAGATGGAATGTCATAAAGCTCACTTGCGTACCTAAGATTGTACCTGAGATTGTGAAAACAGCTAGCAGGGCTCTAGAGTGCGACCAGTTTGGTCGCAAATGYGACCTGACTTCTTTAAAAAGATAAAATCYAGCCACACTGGTGTGACTGGATCGTTGTTCGGTGCTCACCAAGCCTCGGGACAGCGGGACCCTGATATAAGGATTAAACGGACACTGCCTTCAACTAATTGGACAAAGTCCAGAGCCGTTTTATCCAATCAGAGCAGAGCAGGGCGGGACTTTCAGACTGTGCTGTTTTCAGCAGAGACCGGTTGAAGCAGCAGCTCCAGCGGTCAGTCCTGACATCTCCTCCTGCACTTTGCTCCTGAACTACCAGAGACGTTGGTCTGTAAAACATAACTTTATATTAAATATATGTTCAGAGCGTTGTTATCAAACAGATCTGTCCAACTTTGTGTGAGTGACTAAACTCTCCTCCTGATGAGAGACTGCTGTGACAGGAGTGTGTCACTGCGCGCGCAGGCTGAGTCTGTGAGATTCACTGTTTGAGTTCTTCTAATTAAACCACATTAACTCTAACAGAACATTTGTTTGCCCCATATTAAAGCAAAGGTGATTCTCTGTTTAACACCCCCATCAAACAATTTTATATACAATATATTAAAAAAATTCAAACAACTTGCCATCTTCTCTAGGTGAATGAGTTTTAAATGTTATTTTAATTTATCAT